CCACTGTCCCACATTTTAGGGATAGGCACTTTGTTTTTGTCATATGCTTCTATACTTTGTCCTATAGAACATGAACTGAAAAGGGGGACAAAGGGTAGAGAAGAAGGTGAGACAAAAACGAAGGAGCAAAAAAGAAAAAATGAAGTTAAAGCAAAAACTGGGCAAAGAAAACCAAGGGCAAAGAAGACCAGGGTTCGGAAGCAAACTTCCCGTCCCACGAATGACAAACAAGCACGGCAATTAGTTATACAGTTCATTTAATGCAGTTTTAGGAACTAGGGAGTACAAAAATATAAACATTTACTCAAGAAGTCATAAAGGATTTGTGTTACAAATATTTCTCCATTAACACGAAAATTTTATATATGTTGATTTGTAAAACTATAATATCTAAGTCTTACAAACAATAAACAAGTGTTACTCTATGTTGAAGCATAGATGTGGTCTTCAAATGTGAGGTTCTGAAATGTAAGAAACTGCTTTCAGAGGAATGAAACTATTTCTACTACGTGATTTCTATCTATGCTCTAGTAGAAATTTCTTATGTGCTAAGGAGGGGGCGCTCTGAGATGTACTAGGGGCAGCATAATTGAGAGAGTGGAAAGCTCTCAGCTGTGGAAATAGATCATGGAAAGTACCAGTGAAAATAAGGAGTCTAATAGTGTGGGACTTTAAAACAAGCAAGGAGATGAGTAGATGAATTAGAGAAAAGAAGTGGATTCAGTAAAATTAGTCCTGAAGAAAAGAGGGATTTTTCTGTTTCAAGTTTCCACTGTGGGTAGTGGTGCTGCTGTGTGTGATGGGCACGTGAAAGGCTTCTGTGGACACAGTGGGTCACCATCAGACAAGGGATACAGGATCTCCATCTTGATCAGAGAGCTCTTTCCTCCACAGTGTTGTCTCCTTTATTCTTTTGGAAAGTTAACTAAGATCTAGGACCTTGACCTTCTGGGAGTGCATATACATTATATTTTTGGAAAAGTTTATTATTTCTAAACATCATATGACCTGAGTCAAAACAAAGGTTTTACCAAAAGTTCCAGTTTAAAATTTAGAATTATGTGTCAAGGGAGGCAAAAGTGACTTGGTCCACACACCTTTCTACAGGGAGGCAGCATGTATACATGCACACACTGCAGAAACCTTTGATGAACATCTCCTATGCGTAATCCATGCGTCTCTGTCTATACTTGAGATTTCAAACACCCTTAAATTCCAGCTGTCCTTACATCATTTGTCAGTGAGCCCAATATACAAACAATAAATATTTTCTAGGTGGTCTTGTTGAATAGGGACTTAGAACTATCTTTGGTTATTTCATTAAATGTTTGGAAGAGCTAGCCAACTCAGAGACTGGCTGAAAAAGAGAGTGACAATGTCTGTATCAGACTTCAGCCCTAGTACACCAAAATTCCTGAAACTGTTTCTTCAATATATGAGAATTCCATATATATATATGTATATATATTATATATATAATATATTAAATATATATATTATAAAAATATATATTTTATATATATATATATAATATTAAAATGTCTTCCTATTTTTAAAATGCCAATAAGGTAAAAAATAATAACTGATTAGGGAAGATATTGTATGATCATGTAATTGGATTTATTCCCTTCACACATTTTATTCAATTTCTATACAGATTAAAGAAAGAGGCAAACAAAGAGCAAGAGAGATTAAGTGTTCTCAATAAGGTTGTTGTTAAAGGATTTGTGGTGGGTCATGGAGATAGATCAGTAGGTAAAGTCACATGTCACCAAGACTGATAACCTGAGTTCAATCACTGGGATCCTCATGGTAGGAGATAATTGGCTCCCACAAGTTGAAGTTTGTAACTTCAACATGCTCCATGGTGAATATGCCAACACACATGTATTCTGACCATAGAATAAATAGATAAAATGTAACAAAGATGCTTGAAGGCTTCATGAGAAAGGTGGCATTTGAAGTGTGAATATCCTAAAAATACTGAATCTCATTCATCCAACCACAGATGGGCTTATGTATATGTCTGTATTAAATTGGGGAGCTGGTGCATAAGGGCTTTCTTGGGTAATTGTTTGGGAAAATGGAATATTACTCACCCTGGCTCATCTTCTAGAAGGTTCTGTATGAAGAGTTCTATGGGGGAGCTCAACTGTTCAATGACCCTTGATTTCCAATGTTTATACTATGCCATCACTCTTGCTACATTGTATTAGTAAAAGCGAATCCCAATGCTACACTGAGTCAAGAGGTAAAGAAATAAAGCACATCTCTATGGAAACCGCAAAGACTCATTGCAGAAGGCATGCAAAGTATATCATTAGTTAAATCTGTTATTTTAATCACTCCACTAGATAATCAGGGGGATACCTTCAGGTTTCAACTGATAAGCAGTTATGTTTTACACATAACAGATGTGTATCTGATTAAGAGACTTTGTCGTGATTTGGCACAAAGACAAGCCACAACAGAACATACGTTGGGTCTCTTCAGAGAGTTACAACTTTGGCGGCAGAGAAGGCTGGAATTCAGCAGTAAAACAGGATGATATTTATGCTATGTAAAACAAACATTTTTGAAATACATCACAAATTTATATTTTCACATGTTGTATTCTAGATACTGATTCCAACATTTCTAAAGAAATAAAAATATTTAACTATGCTCTACCTTTCCTTTTAAAGAGAGTGCATACTCTATGATGTTGAATGTTAGGACTAATGTAATTTTGTAAACTTTTATAAGGGTTGACAGTAATGACCTTATCTTTGGTCTCAGAAGATACTTTGGGGTTTGAACAAGGTTGAGACTTTTAAAGACTATGGGGACTTTTAAGGTTAGAGATTGAATAATTTTTTTTCCCTATGAAATCATGATAAGCCCCATGAGAGACAGGAGTGGATAGGAAATATTCCCAATAGGTCTCATATTTGCACATTTCGACCTCACCTAGAGGAACTGTGTCTGAAGGTTGTAGAACCTTCAGGAGGTGAAACTTCACGGGAAGATGTGGGTCACTGGAGGTGTGAGTTTCTATTCAGTTTTTTGCTTCTCGAATGTGGATGCAAAATGAACAACCAACTTCCTTCTCTGTAGCACAAATAATAAAAACCCAGAGTCAGATATTTTGGTTCAACCTAAAAACCAGAAAAGCAAAGCAGCTTGGTGCTTAGGAATCTATAGATGTACATGAAGGCTTAGTTCCTGACAAAGATGTGTGGAGAAATGATGTTGTGAGGTAATTTCCTCCACTATGAAATCTTACATCTTGGAGGGAAACTTCTCAAGATGCAATATTCTCTAGAGGGAGAAACACATCCTACCCTGCATGAATGATCTTTACAGTCCAGGGTGTTCTAATGGGCTTTAAGAAATCTTGGAACTGACAAAATGCAACAGGTCTCTTATTCCTCATGCTTCTAGAAGAAACAAGGATGTCTGAGAGATACTTTCAAACAAATTAACAGTCTATAAGACCCCGAGAGAAGACAGGCTGCCTGGAAGAGGTCGACAACCTGAGTTGCATAGAAACAGCAGGGAATCACCAGAGCCACCAGGAAGAGGCTCAAACTAACATATGTTCCTGGAAAAAGTACTCTTCCACCTGTTAAGATGCCTACAGGTTAAGCAGGGCACTCTGTTTCCAGTTTCTGTGAGTTGTCAGTCATTTTAGCGCACAACGCCTGTCTGTGCTCTGTGCGCTACCATACAGTTTGCAAGCTACGGGCAAGGGATTGGAGGTTGAAACACACAAACACACACAGACAGAGAGACAGACACGGACCTCTAGTCACTGGTAAGAAGCCCCTTATTCAATAGCACCATGGGGGCTTATATACCCAACACGGTCAGGTGGGCCAACAGGTGAAAACCTTATCCTCTGATCCTCAAGGCAAGGCAACACGTGCTTGTGAAGTAGAGCTGGTAAACAACTTTGACACAGCTTTCAGTAACTCAAATCAGAAGGAAAGTCAAGATCTCTAGCAGGGAAGAGCAGCTGGAGGCCAGGACTCCAAATGGTCCCAACAAGTTTGGGACTTATTTCTATTCCTTCAAGGTTATTATTTGTTCCTATCTCAAACAAAGGTCTTGCCTAGATTTAGATCAGAGCATTCTGCTCTCTCAAGGTTATTGCCAACAGGTGCTGCTAATAGCCAGACCTTGTACTCCTGGCGTAGAGAAGTAGATCTGTTCCTACCTCAAACAAAAGTCTAAGAACCCAACTAAGTTCCTACTCCCTTAAGGAGACAGCTTTGGATTCCACCCAGTTTGCCAACAGAATGTTTTGGTCTAGGGTGTGAGCTTATTCTAGAGTATTCTATAGGGTACTTGTCTTATTCTAGCAACAGAATGTTTAACTGAGAATGTAGCCACAACATTCAACTGGTCTGTTCATTTCCTTGTATCATGTTAATGCAGTTTTTATCTTACTCCTACCTTTTGGGATTGGGAGTATTTTAAGCAAATGGAAATTAAACGCAAGCAATTTCAGTATTCACTGGAACTCCCTTCTGGTACCATCCTATGCTTTCTATCAGAATGTCCTACTGGAAGCTAGTTTACCCCCTGAGTCTGTGTGCTGTGTGCTTACTCTGTGAAGTAGGTTGCACATTTCCATTTTAGAATAAAAAACACAACTGAAAAAACTACTCAATCAGTAACGTGTCCATCACACAAGACTAAGGACCTGAGATCTATGTTTTTGAACAGATAGGCATTGCATTGTGCACCTTTAATCTCACACTGGGAATGGGGGGACAGGATGATCCAGGGGGCACACCAGTCAGTCAGTTCATCTGAATAGGTCAGCTACAGGTTCAGTGAGAGAGTTTCAAAAAAATCATGTGGAAAGTAATCAGGAAGGCCGGCTTGTCTACTTCTGACCTCTGCACACACACATGATAATGTGTGCTCGTAAACACATCACACACACATGAATATATCGTATTAGATCAAGATTGATGGGGTAACATGGAACTACAAGAAGGCAGACAACCATCTCCAGAAGCATAATTGTTCTTTTAATCAGGACAACTGAAGGGGTGGGGGGCTCTCCTTCCAAGAGGAGACCATGCGCGTGTGGCATGTTGGACTTTGGGAACTTTGGGAGGTGAAAAAGTACATTTGCAGGCCATTTCCCCTGCAGTGTGTGCATGGATGGGAACCAGTGAGTTTGGTCTTTGGATCTCCTTATCGGATGCTTCCAGAGGTGATATCAGTCAAGTCAATGTTCTTGTCTGGAATTTCTCAGCCCACACGAGGCTTTTAGGTAATTTATCACATACCAACGGTAATAAAACAAAAATGAAGAATAGATTAAAACATTGAAGCAACTTATTCAAACGGCAGGAAGTGGCATTTTCTTTCAAGTGGGTCAGCACTCAAGTCAGAATTGCTTAAGAGAAAAGTAGTGTGGACTGGAACAGCACGGACTTCTCTGGCAGCTGTGGTTGCATGACTCATTTTCTTAGGTTCACAGACTTCTACTTGTCACTCGTCCCCCTCTGTGCACAAATAACATTGAGCAAATTGTACCGAAGTTTGTTCCTCAGTCGAGGAGAGGCCTCCGTGTTCATCTGCGACCAGCTGTGCTTACGGCTCCAAGCACAAGACGTTCAAAAGGCTTACCTGGTGATTGTTCAACAAAGAATATCTGAGTGATTAAAGGCAAAACACCCTGACCAGTCCTTACACAGAAAAGAAGCAAAAAAAGTACCACAGAGCAACACTGTGTTAGAAAACCCTCAGAAGAATGCTTTAAAACAATTATTTCATTTGAGGAATAATTGCCGACAGGTTAGCTTTAATTGTATTTGATACAATAGAAACAAATGGACTAAAATTAAAATGAATTCATTGAAACTGTAAATTGACCATGTTGCCAAAGTAGGTGTTGTTCCTAATGCTTGTACTCTAAATATTAAGTGAACCCTGATAAGGTTACAATTGTTTGTTGATACAAAGAAAGTCTCTTAAGTTGCCTGTGCCTGTAATGAACTGTAGCCACAGCATGGAAAGGCCATGCCAGAGATGATACGACTTTTTTTTTTTTTTTGTAGAAATATACAAAGCATAAGAAGTTTTCTTTCTTTCTTTTTTTTCTTTTAACAAACATTGGTGGTTCCATATGACCATGAAATTGAAATGGCACTAAATACCACCCCTTTCATCCTTGAAACCTAGATGACTAAATGGTTAGCAGGGTTAGAGAACCTGTGCAGACACAAGCGAAGGTTATGTCTGCAGGCCAGAAGAGGGCACCAGACCTTATTACAGATGGTTGTGAGCCACCATGCGGTTGCAGGGAATTGAACTCAGGACCTTGGGAAGAGCAGGCAATGCTCTTAACCACCTAGCCATCTCTCCAGCCCCAATGAGCGAAGGTTATAATAGTATGTTCCACGTAACTCTCGCTTTGAACTGCCAAACACTCCCTGATATTAATTCACATTGTCTCCCAAATGTGCCCAACTATTCCGTTTCTAAGATCGTGGCCATGTGAAGTGTGTTAGGTGAGGCTGCATCTAAGTTTTGTAAATTGAGGATTGACCAGTTGAGGACTCTAGTAGCTGCCTGTTCCTCACAGGCTGCTCTGCTGTCTTACCTTCTAATATATATATTACACATATATATTCTAAGATATATTACATATATATACATATATATTACACATGCATGTATACATACACACATATATGTGTAAATACACATAAGGTATAAAAGTATATATGCTCACACGTGTGTACATATACATACGCATGTAGTATAGAAGGTAAGTTACTTTTGTTTTGCATATATACATATATACTTCTATATAAGAACATTTAGAAAACGAAAGTTACTTTTAAGAATAAAAATGATCGACGTTTTCATTTAACAAATTTTATTCAACAGCATCTTTTTAAAGACTAGTTTTTGAGCCACCTTGGCCCATCTGCCCCTGTTTTAGTAAACTTTACGTTCATTTGTCCCATCGGATGATCCTCTGCCTTTGCTCGTCACCGTCTTCATTCAACAGTGCTTTCCGAACGAGGAGAAACGTGCAACAGATTTGCTTCTTCAAGAAAAGACGTCAAACTACTATAACCTGTTAGTTCCCGACAGCTTCAACTAATCAACCATTTTTTTTTTTTTTTTTTGCATGGAGGCAACAGAGAGGGAGGAGGAGAGGGCTGAGAGCAAGGCTCTGCTCTGCGTTAGCATAAATCTGTGCTCTACAAAGGGAAATCTGTCCCTGTGGTTGCTAATGATGTGCGTGTGCCTTAAATTAGCAGCATCCCCGTGCTTTATTTATAGGCTTTTGTTCGCCGGTCTTATTTCCTGGGATGATTTATGTCTCCACACATACAAGAAACAATTTAAGCAATTACTTGAATCAATTGAAGCAAACATGTAACAGAGCAAAGAAAGCAAGCTATTTTTATCCTTTGACAAAAATAGGGTACCTTCTGAAACGTATTTGGACAAGCACGTATTTGTTTACACGGATACAAGAAATGCGTGTTTGCACTGGTGGTAGGAATGGGGAAAAGTAATTTACCCAGGAACGGGAAAACAAAACAGCTCTTTTAAAATTAGCTCCCAAACTGCGTCTTTGGATCCTGTGCTCAGGCACATCACCAGGTGCTCTTGGGACTCCGGAGTTTGTAATGTGCCCCAGAGTCACGTTCAGACCTGGAGTAAGAGAGGGTGGGCCTGGCCCTTCGTCCTGAAATGAGGGCTGAGCTGGGCCTCTCGCAGCAAGAACCATGAGGAGCAGGAAGCAGGGAATGGCCCCAAATCAGGGAAAGCAGGCTCGGCTGCTTGAGGAACTGCGCTCCTGGTGCTTTTCTCCTGAAGCCATTTCCTCTTCGGGCAGCAGCCTAGTCCTTGGCGGGGCTGCTGCCTCCCTCCCTCATCCTGCAGCCCCGCAAACTCTGCCGAACGCCATCTGGCGACGCGGGATGACCCGCGGGCACCGAGCCTCCAGCGGAGGGGAAGCGAAACCACAGCTGGCGGGAGGAGCGGGAGTGCGGGGAGCGGGGGAGGCGAAGCGTGGAATAATTCCACGACTTCCCCAGTCAGTCCGAGGCGTGGGAAAAGCAAGAACCGATGCGGGCGGAGAGCGGGCATCCATCCGCATCGGGTGAGCCCTAGTGCCTTCGCAGTGCCCCTGTGCTCCGCTCGTTCGGGTCCCTAGGTGGGAACAAACTCCGGGTGCAGAAGTCCGCGCTGCACAAGTCCTTTGGTTGGAGTTAGGCGCTACCCCGGCTGGTGTCAGCCGGCGATTTGCAGCTTTCCCATAGTCACTCCCGGCGCCGCAGGGGCGCGGTTTTAAGCAGCTGGCCCCATTTTCCATGCTGTGTATTTCAGTTGCCCCATCTCGCTCCATTCGTGGAGGCACCGCTTGCCACATGTGGATGGTGGAGCCCTCAGCGGCCTCCTATAATAGGGTCACCAATGCGAGCCCGTGTCCAGCTCCACAGGAAGCTTCTCTAATGGAGTGGGGCTTGCACTGCACCGCCAGGAGCTGGACTGCTGAGCTTAGACGCCCGAGCATCTCGATCCTGTGCCTAAACCTTACCCGAGTCTTTTAGGGATGGCCTAGCAGCCCCGCTTACCTGATCGACTACACTCATCCAGTCTTTTGTTCCGCGAGACGCTTTCGCCCCTGCGGAAACCCAGGCAGCGGGCGGTGGGAGGATCGGTGCTAGAACGCAATCTCCTTGGCCTGGCCGCACGCTCGGACTTCGGTGTCTGTGGCTAGCTCTCCATCGCGCCACAACGCCTCGGGAACAAAGGTATCCCAGTTCTCTCCCTGTCCCTTCCTCCTGTTTCCGCATTCTCTGGCAAGAATCTGTCTCTGTGTGAGGAGGGAACTGGGCATCCTTACTTCGTCATCTCGGAATTCTACTTAGGGCTTGGAAATGTGAATATGTCCCTGCCCTGGGAAGCAAGATTGCTGGTCCCTTCAAAATAGTCCTTCTGGTTTCATGTGGTTAAAGCACCTCTACAGTTGCAACAGTGTTCAACTCCCCCTCCTCCTCCCCTCTCTTCTGTGTCTCTTTCACTCTGCACCCCCCCACCCCGTGTGCGCCTGTGCGCGCGCCCATGTTCGTGCGTTCTTTTCATTTCTACCATTAGGAAACCCACTCAGAGCCTCCGTGAACTCAGAAGACGCTCAGTTCTTATTTCCCACGGATTCCTGACTCTCCGGAAACGCTCACAGCGTATACACAGGAGGATATTATGCTGGAGAGACCACTGATTCTTAAGAAATGAGACATGGAGAAAAAAACGGCAAAGCTGGAAGCCCTGGAAGAGGCCGTAGCACGAAAATAGGATCTGCATTCGGCTACGGGGTCCTAATCCCCTCTCTTCAGCACCGGAGGGGATGGACAGCGTCTCCCAGCTGGGCCTCCGTCTTGGGGACTTAGGTGTGCTTCTCCTGCTGCCTCTACTGCTGTCCTTGTGGTCACTGTCATGGACAAGAGCTCTTGGCAGCTAAAAGGCGGTGCCTCCGGTCCCCTTCCTTGATGGTTGAAAACCTGCCTTCCTCATCCTCCTGTCCCTCATAGGAACCCGACTCCGCGTGGTTAAACTCTGGGCAGCAACTCCACAAATAATTTTCTGTATGGGCTGGAAGGAACGCAGGCAGCAGAGTGGAGTTGAAGTTCTTAGAAGCACCAAGGAACTGTAAGCGCTGCAGTAGGAGTTGACATACTCAAAGGCCCACAGTTCTTTAAACAAGAACTTCCCCGACTGGATTGCAGCTGTTGTGGAGACAGCTTTGCGAGAGCTTGGAGATACTAAACCCCAACATTAGAGTAGCCGAAAAGACTCCATTTCCTCTGCTCAGCAGGTATGTGATAGCACCATTATGTCCATATTTCCACGCGCTCTAATGACTTTGAAAAAGATATGAATTTATATGTTGAGGATTAAGGAAAGTAAGTATTTCTGGTTGTTTTAAAATGGTTATTCCCACACTAGTATCTTGTAAAAATCTGTTCCTTGATAAGTTGGTCTGGAATTTTATTTTCTGGAGTCTCTTATGTGACGGTAGTGACAACAATATGTAGGTGGCTTACATTAGCATAGCAAACTTTTACTTGGCCATTTTCTTACTGCCTAACTAGCACCTCTGGGTATCTGTGCATGTCTTACTTGTTATTTTCTTTAAAACTAATGTGCGCTGGTGTTTGGTGATCATGGCCATTCAGTTAAAAATATTTCTGGTTGTGTTCTATTATGTCTGCAACTCAGTCAAAAGTTGGAAATGGTTCAATCACTTCTAATATTTTAAACGGTGATAAGTTGCTAAAATATTTACAGGGACATACACACACACACATCTCAATATCTGACCCCTTTTATATCCAGGGCCCCCAAGTATAGTTAGATCTGCAGACTTATCAACAGATACCTCAAGGCTGCCCTTTCAGCTTTGATCCTCTAGAAGGCAGAATGTAAGCAGCTTCCTTGTGCCTCTTTAAAAGTGGGATTTTCCTCACCATTCTGACTGGTTACTTCAACAAAACACACTTGTCTCTGAAATCAAGTAAGTAGCAGAGACTAATCAGTTCTTCACACGCTGTACATTTTAACATGATAATTTTTTTCTTGATACTTCTACCCAGACTCTTCCTCTAAGGCTTTAAAATCGTACCTTCCACAATGACCTTGGTGAGCACCGTGCTTTAATGGAAATGTTTCCCCTGTGAAACCATCACACAAATGTAGAGTCCATGCCTGACGTTTCAGAAAGAACTCACCCAAGTCCAGTGAGCACATTCTGCTCACTGGAGAGCTTGGAATCACCGGAAGGAACCACACAGTCGTGATGGTATATGCCTAACTGAGCCTGTAGAATGAGTTTGCCTCTGAAAAAAACTGCAGGAGTTTGGAGGATTTTTTTCTTTTAATTTTATATACCACGCATAGCTGAAAATAGAATACCTTTATATCCCGATCACACTCTCAGTTTGTCAATTTGAACACCGAATCCTCTGGGACAGGGTGGTATTTGTTGGTGGACCAATGGCTGCCTGTTTCCCATGGACTGAGATGAACAGTTCTGCTCTGAAGAGCTGTCGTTTCTTAACCATCACTGACCTCTCACCAAGAGGCAGCTTGCATCACAGACAGAGAGTTGGAACTCCTCAGGGGCACGGCTGCCCTACATAGGTCAGAAATGATCGTCAGAAAAATAGGAGGCGGCGCTGATTGATGTGGATTCCTCCAGTGTGCCCCTTGCAGAATCATTTTGTTTTCTAATCCAAGAAATATGCAAGCAGATTTTAGGAGAGTTGCAGCATGTAACTAGACTATCATTTTGGATGTTAATTAATTAATGCAAATTGACTCCTTTATCGAGTGGCACATAAAATGAAACGTGGGAATGTGTTCTGGAATGAAGCCTGTGTGTCTTATGACCACTGTTTCCTTCTCAGTTGTGGAGGGGGCAGGCTTTCTCCATGTGGAACAGAAACTGAATGAAGTAAAAGCTATCTGTGCCTAATCGCCTTGCAGATTTGCTCACGGAAGTAAATAATTCTGATTCATCACTTAAATATCAAGAAAGTGTATTGAAGCACTTGCCAGCTGCTCTCCCTGGGGAAATGTAACACCGAGATAGGATTTTTGTTAAGCCTATTTGGTAGCTATCTAAAGGGTCATCTCTAATCACAATTAAATGAAAAAAAATAAGGGTATCAACAGATACGTGAGCAGATAAAGGAGTAAGAGGGTTCTTGTAAGTCAGCCTTCATTTTGATTCCACTCATCTCTGAAATGAAATCAACACTTGATTTGAAAAGTGTCTCCAATGCATGCAATTAGTCCTTGTCTAGCTGGATATTTTGTTTTAAATTGGAGAAAGGATGTCCAGGCTTCACAAATATCAACTCAATTAGTATCTTAATCCTAGAGCTGAGTTGAGCCCTGGAATCTGTTCTAGTATTTTCCTCTTTTTGCCTAGACATGGAGTTATAACAGGTTGGAAAGGAATGCTGACTCAAATTTTTGCTTTATAAATTATTATAAAAACAGGCCATGGATGCTGGGAATGATAAATCATACGTCTAATTTAAGCGTTGAGGAGGCTGATACAGGAGAACTGTGTCAAGTTTGAGGCCCATATGTGATATATAGTGAACTGTGAATTACTTTGGGCAAAATATTCAGATTCTATCCCCAAATATCTGAAAACCAAAGTCAAATACAGACTAAATCATAAAACCATAAACCATTTGTCTAAACTTTTGTGTAGACTATATAAATGTTAATGGACTATCCAAAGGTAATTATCATTAATTGTAGATCATTTAAATTTGAGTGTCTGAGGCTTGTCTTTGAAATTGTTCATTTTCTTGAGTTTTAGTACATTAAAAATTTAAAATATGAGATTATCATTTTCAAATTTAAGAAGGTCCTTTGACAGTTGGTATTATTTTACTATTTAAAAGGTGTAGTTATAGGCAAAAGCTACTAATGAAGAAAAGAATATTGCTAGGCAGAAATAGGTCATCATACGTCTCCCAATACCTGTACAGTGAGAAAGAGCAGAACACTTAGTATTTTCTTCCTCTGGAACTGAATGTGATAAACATGGTACACGGCACGTGCTATTTGGTGGTGAAACAATCAGGCTTCCTGAAATCCTGATGTAAGGTGTAGGACAAGTTACTTAACTCACTGATGCTTGATTTCTTCCCACAAGTTGGGAAATTTTTATCAGCCAATAAGAAGCAAATCTTTACACATAGAGACACCTATATTTCTTAAATGTTAATTAACAGGTTAAACGATATGTCTTTTATGGACAAGTAGGACATATAACTATGGTGCTCTGAGAGTCTCCTGAGAACTTCCGTGCTTTATCTGTTGGCTCCCACGAGGAATTTTTTTTTTTTAGATTATTTCTTTTTGCACTTCTTTTTTTTCTTTCATACTTCAGTTTTTTTCAAATTTATTTATTTATTTGTTTATAAAAATTTCCACTTCCTCCCCCCTCCCCATACCCTCCCTTTCCCCCACTCCCTATTCCCCCCCCACTCCCTCTCCTCCTCCCTCTCCAGTCCTAAGAGTAGTCAGGATTTCCTGCCCTGTGGGAAGTTCAAGTTCCATGAGGAATTTCTAACAGCCTTCATTCACTCATGGATCTCAAGGTTTCCTAAAATTGCTGCATGTCAAGGATGCAGGGAAAAGCCCTCTTGGTGAAGATGTAAAAAATTCCTGATAATGCTGCTGTTTTTACACCTCTGTCCTTTATATAAAAATTTCAAACTAGGTAGAGTTTGGTTTAAGAATTTTTGTCATTCAGCATTAGCGCCATGTTTTCTACCAGTTGCTCAAATCTAGGTCAGCACGATCCTTCTCCACTCCAATAACTTTCATTGTGATTTCTGGACACGTTGTCACTGCCTTTGTATGTGATCTCTTCTGGGAGGGAAGAGTATTTATCACTGAGAATATGGACACAGACACTCAGAAGAATTATAAACTTTGAAACTGTCTAAAAACTCCTGAAGAATTAAGTTTGATTTGTGGTCAGTGGGGATGGGGGGAAATGCGGCTCTGTGGGGCTGAGTGTTAGGACAGTCAGGTGCTATGAAGGTGTGGTCTTTACCTGGTCTGCAGCCCAGGCTATGCTCACACGCCTCTTCAGTGCTCTCAGTTTCCATCAGATGTCACAGTTTTGTCAGATGTCATTTTCTATGATGTCACATATTTTTATTTCTGTAGGAACTAGGCTACCACTAAAATACACTGGTAGTGTGTTTAAGACAAATTATTGCTTGACAGAATGGTCATTTCTTCCTTTTTTTTTAAAAAAATATTTATCTATTTATTTATCATGTATACAATATTCTGTCTCCGTGTATGCCTGCAGGCCAAAGGAGGGCGCCAGATCTCATTACAGATGGTTGTGAGCCACCATGTGGTTGCTGGGAATTGAACTCAGGACCTTTGGAAGAGCAGGCGGTGCTCATAACCAGAATGGTCATTTCTAAAATGTTTTGTGGTCAAAATATTTGGTGATTGGTCTAGAGCCTAAGAAATTGTAATCATTTGGGTGTAGAATTTTTAATTGTGAGAATTGACTGGTTTCTTATACAAAAGAGAAGGAATGAATGATAAAGATTTATTTATTTATTTATTTATTTATTTTTTATTAAAATATAAAAGTTTCCATTTTTGCCCCTCCTCCCAACACCCTCCTACTCCCCCTACTCCCTCTCCTCTTCCCTCTCCATCCCTAAGAGCAGTCAGGGTTTCCTGCCCTGTGGGTAGTTCAAGTTCCTCCCCGCTCCCTCCAGGTCCAGGAAGGTGAGTATCCAAACAGACTGGATCTCCAAAAATCCAGAATATGCAGAGGAAACAAGTCCCAGAGTCATTGTCAATGGCTTTTTAGAAAGACTTCGGGCCAGCCACATTCAGGGAATCCAGCCTCCTCCAGAGAATCTGGTTGGATCAAGCGCTCCTTCAGTCCCAGTCAACTGGCCTTGGTGAACTCTCATTAGATCAGTCCCCTTGTATCAGTGGGTGATCGCTCCCCTTGCGGTTCTGATTTTCTTTTTCATGTTCTTCCTCCTTCTGCTCCTCCTTTGGACCTTGGGGGGCTCAGTCCGGTGCTCCAATGTGGGTCTCCATCTGCATCACCATCCATCGCCGGATGAAGGTTCCCTCTGATCTTGCCCTCCCTGCTCACGTTCTTCTTCCTTCTGCTTCTCGCTTGGGCCTAGGGAGTTAAGTCCAATGTTCCAACGTGGGTCCCCGTCCCTATCTCCATCCATTGCCAGATGAAGGATCTATGGTGATAAGCAAAATATTCATCAGTATGGTTATGGGCCAAGGCCA